ATAATGTTATATGTGTAATAAAATTTGCTATTATTGCAATAAATAAGAAATACTATTAGTTGTGAGAATAATTTTTGTAAAGAGATTATTCAGGTAAAAAACTCTAAAATTTTCGAAGGTTTTTAAATTGAAAGTAGATATATTCCCAAGTCATCCATGACCTCAGGAAAAGGGAAGCAGGTAACTAGCCTTTTGGCCTTGACAAATTCAAAGCAATATTATACTACATAAATTTTGTGCATCTTAAATTTTTTTAAAATGTATTCATGAGAAGGCCAAAATGAGAGTAGCTTGAAGTGATTTGGTCATATCTTATGTCAACTTTCATATGCATTGGTTCGTAAGCCATGGGAAGCCAGAAATATTTCTAAGTGTGTTCAAATTTAAAAGAAATGAAAGAAATTCTCCGACAAAAGGTATTTAATATATGTAATATATCTCTAAAACTTAATATTTTACTTATATACACAATGTAATTTTTCAACAAAGAATGGTCAACTGGCCACCCTTAAGGTAATGTAACTTCGTCCATGCGCGTAAGGGTGAAATCATGATGAATGAAGGTATTAAAAAGATAAAGTAAATTAAAAATTATATGAAAGGAAGTTGTTTTGAAATACTTATAATCTCTTGAATCCATATAAATTTAGCCCAAATATATATAGTAAATGAAAGAAAAGTAAAAATTGCACGGGGTGCCCTATTTGATCGCTCTCATTTAACTCATATCTATTTTTTTAAAAGTTTTAATTTGTACCCACTTTTTAAACAACTTCAGCCCCTTTTCTCCTCCTCATTCTTCTTCTTCTTCTTCTTCTTCTTCTTCTTCTTCTTCTTCTTCTTCTTCTTCTTCTTCTTCTTCTTCTTTCTTCTGTTGTTGTTGATGATGCTATAAAACTTCAGTTCATGGGGATGATTGCCATAAGTATGTTTTTCAGATTATTTAAAAATAAATTATAAATAATTACGTAAGTTAGTAGACAATAATTTGTGAATATTTCCACGTACGGAAAGTTTAAGGTCACACTTAGTGATACTTTTTATGATAATTCTGTTTATTATTAGTATGGGATTAAATTTTCATTCGGTTATTGTATAGGTTAAATATATATAAATGCATTTTAACCTGTTGTGCTAAATCATTTATCTAGTTTTTTAAGTTACTAATTCTACTTATGATAAACTTATTATCTGTATAAAAAAATCAATTACATCATAGCATAAAACATGCTGAAGTTCAGCAAATATAGAACAAAATTTCAGCTAAAACATGTTGAAGTTCAGCAAATAGAGAACAAAACTTCAGCTACTAGAATGCTTAAGTTCAGCAATTACAAACAAAAACTTCAGCAAATAGAGAACAAAACTTCAGCTACTAGAATGCTTAAGTTCAGCAATTACAAACAAAAACTTCAGCAAATAGAGAACAAAACTTCAGCTACTAGAATGCTTAAGTTCAGCAATTACAAACAAAAACTTCAGCAAATAGAGAACAAAACTTCAGCTACTAGAATGCTTAAGTTCAGCAATTACAAACAAAAACTTCAGCAAATAGAGAACAAAACTTCAGCTACTATGCTTAAGTTCAGCAATTATAAACAAAAACTTCAGCATACTTGGTTCAGCAATTTTTGCTATTTCAGGCCCGTCTACTAGAATGCTGAAGTTTGCGTGATTACCTTTGCTACTTCAGGTCCGCCTACTAGAATGCTGAAGTTTGCGTGATTGCTTTTGCTACTTCAGGCCCGCATGCTGAAGCTACGTGAAAAAGTGAGTATGCTTGTAATTTTTTTTGCAAAGCGGACATAAGTTAAAACGTGACCCAAAAAACGGGTATAGATACAAATGTCCCGAAAGAAAAAGACGGTATCAATTAGTTGGGAATATGGTTTAATCATGTTAGTACATTTACTTTAGGTCATATGTTTTCTAAGAGTATCTTAACCCTATCAGATTCAGTAGCAAATATACAAAGAGTTTCGAGTATTTTGATTTTGTACAATATTAGTGTGAGATGATTTTAAAAGGAGAAACATGGTTTATAAGAATTCATATAGCGGTTTGAACTTGTTTGAGATTAAGGTGTACTTATTGTTGTTGTTGTATCTCCTTTTTTTAAAATGGTACTCCAATAAGTTAGTTCATAGTTTCTTTTTTGAGTTTTAGAAAATAAATAATATTAATAATTATTTAATATTCAGATTCAGAGACAATATCTTAATATTTCATCTTTAAAAAGACAAAGGTCTTGGTATTCTCAGTTGTCGATATCAAATTTAAATTTTGTGAATGCAATATCAGCGGGGATAGCTCAGTTGGGAGAGCGTCAGACTGAAGATCTGAAGGTCACGTGTTCGATCCACGTTCACCGCAGGAATTTTAATCTTTTTCTACTTAAATTTTGTCATTATTTCAATTAATTAGACTAGAGGAGATTAAATATAAAAGTTGTTATGAAGAGAAATATACAAATATAACTTTTTAATGATTTAAAAGTTCACAATAGCAACGTCATGGTGCTATTTTTATAAAAGACATTAAAGTTTATGTACGTACTTGTTAGGGGAAATTAAATATTGATTACTGAATCCTATCAGCACCTAATTATCAGCACCTAATTATTTTATCTAATGTTGGTTGATTGCAATCTACTAGTTAATTAAGAAATCGGGTTGCTCTGATGGTAAGCAACTTTCACTTCCAACCAAGAGGTTGTGAGTTCGAGTCTCCCCAAAAGCAAGATGAGAAGTTCTTGGAGGGAAGGATGTCCGGGGGTCTATTTGGAAACAGCGTCTCTACCTCAGGGTGGGATTATACTGGGCTGTTGTTGTTGTTGTTCAATTAAGCAATTCAATATCTTATTAATTCTTTTATTTTCATTTCATTTTCAGTCTAATTATTGATGCCAGCAACTTGAAGAAAGCTTTTGCTTCAAGCAAACAACAAATCTTTCTACAAACGAATTCATTAACTATTAATCACACTTTTTTTTTAGTTAATCATACTTATTACTTGATCCCAATTCCAAGATCCTCCATTTTTGAGAGACCATTTAATTTTTTCTAACAAATGGAAGAAGGATTAATCGGTCCACGGATATACAGTTGCTGTAAATGTCGAAATCATATTGCTCTTCATGATGATATCGTCTCCAAAAATTTTCAGGTTATGAATTTTCTTTCACTTAATCTCAAGCTTTTCTTCTTCTTTTTTTCCTTTTTTCTGTTTGAACTTGACGGTTCAACCTTTAAAGCTCTTATGCCCTAAAACCATTAAACTTTTGAAATTTATGAGTTTAGAAGTTAATATTTTTTAAAATTTTAGTGATCATTCACATTTGGCTATTGTTATTGTTTTGTTGTTTCGGCTTTCTTTTTTATCTTTTCTTGAGCCAATGGTCAATCGAAAATAGCCTTTCTACCTTCACAAGATAGTGATAAGGTCGGCTTACAAACTGCCCTCTTCAGACCCCACTTTGTGGTATTACACTGGGTTTGTTGTTGTTGTCGGCAGTGGCAAAGGCAAAGTTTTACCAAGAAGATTCAACGTTCAATATATATATACATAAAACAAACTTTTGATAAATATGGTGTGATTTTCTGGCGAAGGTAGTAAAGGTGAACCTCGTACTCCCCTGTCATTGGGTTCAGTTGAACACATTAAACCTATGTTACATCTGTCTTTGTTTATGATGAGGTTCACTCTTTTAGGTTCTTATGCTGGTTCAATTACAATTTTGAAATTACGAGTTCAACATTTGAAATTTGTTATAATTTTAGTAAGTAATTTTTTTCACGTATATATCACTATGTTTTGTGCAAAAAAATATTGAGTTCAGTCGAACTTATTGGACTCGTGATATGTCCGTCTTTATTTATGACACAATATTTTGTAAAAGACAGGCAAGAACAGGGAGAGCTTATTTGTTTACACATGCCATGAATGTAGTTATAGGGCAGAAGGAAGATCGACAACTAATGACTGGTTTGCATACTGTGGCAGATGTTAAGTGTTCTGATTGTGGAGAAGTTTTAGGATGGAAATATGAAAGAGCATATGATGAAAGCCAGAAATACAAAGAAGGAAAATTTGTTTTCGAAAGATTTAAGATTGTAAAGGATAATTGGTAGCTTAGGTGGGGAATTTTGATGTTGATTTCACATATTTTAAGTGTAATTATGTGCCTAATTGGAAAATTTGTACAAAGAATCTGAACATTATTTGTTTGATAAATAAACTTTTTTTGTTTCCTACTCGGTGTTCGGTACCTGCATTGGGGTCGACTAAATCCAGATTCGCGTCAGCATGTCCCACATTGGGGGTAAAACGCTCCCTAACAAAGGCGACTCCATACCCAGGGCCCGAACCCGAGACCTATCATTAACGATGAAAGAGTATTTACCACTCCACCACAACCTCGTTGGTTAAAAAGCATAGGTAGAACACTTTACACAAATTCTTTTAACACATCCCAATTTCATGAGCAACTCTTTACATGACATGCCTCTTCAATGTTTGATCACTTTTCTCGAACATAGTGTATCGAATTAACCTAAATAATCACTTACTCAATCACTTAAAATTAAAAATAATCGGCAGATGTATAATATATGGATAATCGTGTATGATCAGCACATAATTTATGCATGCCGACCAGAAAAAGTAAATGGCGAATTCAGCCGACTACTTGTGTAAAGTTTTCATTCTAAGCAAAATACTATAATTGTACATTTTTTCATAACTATACAGTAATTAGAATCAAAATATTACACTTGACCATAGTTTAGAGCATTGATTTAGACTAGACGCTACATATTCAACACAAAAAAAGCAGTCCGATGCATCAGGCATCTCGCATTTATGTAGGGTTCGGGAAAGGGCTGCGCATGCTACATATTCAACACATACACCAAAAAAACTGACATGCATATAAAGAGCGGAATTCACTGACTTTAAATCTTGAATTTATTAATATAGAAGAAAATTAGAAAGTTAATTAATTATAGAGCAAAGGAACGTGACCTTTTCTTATTATCATCAACCAAATGTCTTACCTTAACCTTCAATTTTTCAGCCCCACTAAGTTCTTGTACTTTCTTAGCTATTCCAAAAACTTTATCTTTCTCCATTTTCACATCTGATGAAACCAAAACCACTTGTGTCCCACAAATCTGATCATAAATTCTTTCAAATTCCATCAACACTTCATTTACTATCCCCACTTTATTCTTCTCCACTAAAAGCTTCAACAAGCCCACCAAGTGTTTGTGAAATTTCCCCTTAGACAATATCTCCTTAAGAACATACCCTTTTTCTTTATCTTCCAAGAAAACAAAAGGGACTTTTCTTAGCCATTTGGACAGCTTAATAACGTCCCTTTCAAGTGTTTCTAATGAGTTGTTGGACTTAGCTATATCGACTAGTGCTGCAGCATAACCACTTGAAGCTCTAGTATGAGTTGTTTGATGTCTTGAGGAGGATTGTTTGAGTGATAGATTTCTAGATGGAACAGTAGTTGGGATATTGAAAGTCTTGGTCTGGATAAAAGAGTTGGTTTTGTTTAAGATTTTTGAACTTGGTTTAGTGAAAGTAGGGAATAAGTGGTGATTTGGAAAGTTGAAATGAGATGAGTAGAGGTCAGCAGAGTTCCTACGCAGAGTTGGAACTTTGAGTGAAGAAACTGAGGTGGAGAGAGTATCCATTGGAATTAATTTGGTAAGGAATTTTTTGGAAAGGGAATGAAGAATAGGTGAAGAAGTGGAGCAGAGTTTCTTAAAATTGTGGTGGGAATTAATGCACGAGACACACAAAAGAAACAGGATAATTTCTCAGCCACCAGTTGACCAAATGTCAAAGCTAGCTTCTCTTGGGCTTTGTAATTCCAGGCTATGAATTGTACTTGTCTTGCCCAACAATAATTTTGCTCAGCCCATCTATAATCTGAAGATTGATAGTTATGGCCTGATATGAGACTTACCAAATGCCAAATCTTTGGGTGGGCGTGTTAGGACCGAAATAATAAGGTGTCATGCGGGAGCTAGTAAAGCAAATCTTGAACGATGATAAATCGGACAGTAAAAGATAACCAAAAGAGACATAAATATTTAACGTGGTTCGATCAATTGATCTATGTCCACGGCGGAGATGAGCAATCCACGATATACCAGAGAAAACAAAATATCGATAGAACAACCTCACGAAGAGGCAAACACAAGTGACACACTAACACTTGTCCGGTAAAGTTCTCCCCCTAAACACGACTCTCAAACCCCATATGGCTACATTGTGAATACTACTGAATGAGAAGGAAGAATCTTTAATTTATAGAAATTCAAACATTTTCCTAAAAAAAGGACTAGCCAAACATGGAAGAATTGTAATTTTTTTCTACAAAAAGGAAAACCCAATTATGGTAAATATATTGTCCTTTCATTAAAGAAATAGGAAAACTAAATATGATTAGAAAATTAGGACAACACCTAACAGGGGAGGGGGAGCTNATGTTGAATTCCCTTGGCATCTTCACGTGTTTACTTTTTTTATTTTTTGAATTCCCTTGATGAAAATCCTGCCTCTGTCACGGCCTCACGAGTGGGGGTAGGGGGTGTGTTGGGGGGGAGGGGTTGACACCAAGTTGCTGTGGAGATTGTGTGCAGAGTGTAAAATATCATTGGATTACATAGAAAGAATTTTCCTATTGTGTATTTGGGATGCCCAGCTCTGGTCGTATGAGTTTGCTCACATTGTCGGTGTCAAGCTTGGATAAAGGTTACGACGGGCTAACAACTAACATAAGACTAGCCAATTCATGTAAGCTAGATTCATTGGCTTCTGAAAGGCACATAAGAACTTTTCTAAAAAAAATGAAACAATTATATATCATGATCCTCTCAAAGAACACAATAATTTGTTCAATGACACTATTTCCCTAACATTGAAAAGTCATTCTAGATTAAACCTGATTTTTCCCTTTCCTAATTCTTTCATATTCTGCTTCAGCATCTTTCAACTGTTCTTTCAGTTTAGCTATCCCACTCTCCAGTTCTTCCGCTGAAGCTCGGACACGAGAAGGTCTGTACGGTGTTAGAAAATGATACTTGAATGCTTTCAGCGCTTCAACACCACAAACCTATCAACAAAAGAACTTAGTAATGTGAGTTACAATTGGTTTGACAAGAAATGTACTATGTACGCAGACCTTATTCTCCCCTCCCCCTACCTTTAAGAATGCAGAGGAGCTGTTTCCGGTAGACCCTCGCCTCAAAAACAAAAGGGAGAATAGAATCACTTAAATATCATCAACTTTTATTTCAGGAATAAATCAGGAATATATGATCTAACATGGTCATTATCCTCTTCGAATGCATCAAAATAAAAATGAAAAGAAAAAGAGAGGTACGTTAACAGAGACGAATCCAAAATTTAAACTTGATGGCTTCAAAACTCGTACTTTTGAAGTTGTAATATCTACATGAGTATCTTCATACCTCTTGCGGAAGTAAAGGCAGCTTGGTAATATTGAAGTCGTCATATAACGTGTAGAATTGATCCAAGTATTTTTGTTGCATCCGCATTCTAGCTTTCAGCAACTGGGATTCAACAACTGAAAACAGTCATAAGTCCATGAATTATGTTTTTTCTTGAACAGGAACAAGTTATCATAAATAAAGTAAGATAGAAGAAGAAAAACAGATAGAGAGAAACAATGGAGGAATCACAAGATGAATGAGACTTGTGTACCTTCTACATCAAAGAGGACTTGGTTAATTATGATGTTGTGTGTATCAATCTCAAACCTAGTGAGTTCTTGAACAAGTCTTTCAGTCTCATATAGAGAGAGGAATTCCGGAATGCAAACACAAACAAACGTCGTCATTTCCTATAAGAAAAGTTGTGTTAAACTCATAAGCAGAACTCAAAAGTTAACAAAGAACATTCAGGAAAGTTAGTATTTAGCCATTAGTAAGAATCACTATAAGGAACTTTACCTAGCCCTGCACAGGACAACAAATGGTCTTACATAAACTGTTATTGAAACAATAAGGTTCAGATACTACATGACCCTCTGAACTCAAATTTTCCCTGATTTGTTAATTTCCGCAGGCCTATAAAAATGCATGATGCTATGAACTCTCGACTAGTTTTTGTCACTATCGTACCCACCCAGTATAATCCCACAAGTGGGGTCTGGAGAGGGTAGTGCGTACGCAGATCTTACTCCTACTTGAAAGGTAGAGAGGCGGTTTCCGATAGACCTTTGGCTTAAGGAAAGATGGAAATAAAGCAGTAGCACAACCCACCCAATAGTTAGTGAATATAAAAACAAGTTAATCGTAATAACAAATGACTATTACAAGGAAAACTCTTACCGGATCCTTAAATTGTCTGTTCACTTGTTCAATAATATCTCTCATGGCTTCAAGCTTGCCTAGAATTGCATCCTCACCAAATTCATCGTCAACACCAAAGAGACGAGTCATCTGCAATAGACAGTACTTTGTATTAATAATAGACATACAAAAGCATATCATCCACTTCCTACAATCCGGGTTGAACTTTTAGGCTTGCAGACAGAGGTGGACCTATGTGTTATGTTGAGGGGTCACCAGACCCTGTAAACTTCGGCAAAAATCTTGTATATATGTGTGTATACCTTAAAAATGGTTAATATGAATCACTTGGCACCCTGAACGCTGAAAGCGTTTAGGGGGCACTGATTGAACAGAATATTGTACCCCGTCGTATTAAAATTCTAGGTCCGCCTCTGCTTGCAGATGAAATGAACAATCATTTTGCACACATTTCCAGTAACCCCTTATAACCCAAAAAAATCATCTCTATAGATCTTTTCAGCTGCTTAAAAGGGGAAAAAGTGGAATAGGAACAGGTGGGGTGTTACCTGACTCAGCATACCACCAAATTTGCTCTTCAAACTCATTATTTTGGCGAGCCCTTTCTCTAGTGTCGATGGGAACTGTAATAACCGGAGAGTGTGTCCCGTTGGTGCTGTATCAAACACTATTACAGAGTAATCCATTGTTTGCACCAATCTACAAGGGAGCAAATCAAACGAAATTCAAGTCCAGATGATAAAGAAAACACCAGAACTGTAAATATAACCAGAAAACAGTATATCTATCATAGAATAATAGTTTAAAAGCACTATCAATGTACCATAACAAGATGTAAGTTAGCAATGAAAAATGTTAGAAAGATGATTAGCTGTATAGGATTCTGATGTCCAGGAAAAGAAAAGGCAATAATAATCTAGTTTCACTTATAAATAGTAACATGTATTATTCCGAAGTGGAACCTCCTTCTGCGACTCAAAATATCTTTACTTTGAACCACTGCCATTGCCCTGGTTTTAGTCATAGTTTTGCCTGATAAGCGACAGACAACTTGACCCCATTTAGTGAGAAAAATACAAGTAATCTCCGTCATCTCTACTTCTAAAGATTCAATATATGATTCTACTTAATGAAGTAGCTCAAATGAGCTGCCCGACAGAGGAAAGTTGGCTATTTTTGACTAATATACTCTAAAAAACTCGAATTCAAAGCTATATTGTGGACTTCCTTGTATCTTTCTGCAAAGTAACTGAAATTATGAAAAATAAGGAAAAAGGGTCACGCAGCTAAGAGACACTATAAATTGAGAAAGAAGCAAATGTTTAAACGAGTTAAGACTTGGGCACAAAATCAACCAGTTTACAAGCTGCACGAAAGATCAACCAAGACAAAATTCAAATCAATCTCAAAGTTTGAAATTGAGTGTTTCTTATGGAATGCATCACCAAAGAAAGAATTTTTCGCAGCTCATGTAGTAATGTAAGGTGTAGCATTAACTTGCTGATACAGCTTTCGACCTCATAATTGTGGAGGTGATATCTTAGTCCTGTCCTTAATCTAGATTAAGATCTAATGCTGAAAGTTTAAACTCAAGCCAAATGCCTAAACTCCTCTTAACATCAGTTGAAATGAGTCTAAAAGAAACGAGAAACCTGAATCTTTAGAAAACGAAAAAATTAGTTGCAATGATCCTCTTCAAGTTGCTTGATATACTTTGTATTATCTCCAAACATCCTTTTTTCTTCCCATACGTTCAATCGACTATACCACATTGTATATTATCGTTTAGGAATCACATAAGACTTAACTTATTTTTTAACATCTTTTGGGGGGAGAGGAAGCTATAATCTGATTTATGTGCCCTGTCACTTACTTTAGCATCTCTGCGAAACTCATAGCTTCATCAATTCCTGGAACTGCATTGGCCAAATCCGAGAAAAAACCGTCCACTCCTTCTGAACCACCTTCTTCATTCTCTATAGTTGGATCAACTTCCTAAAGAACACAACTTCAATCATAAAAATCATTACCCCATAACAGCACATCAGAACAGAATTGACCATAAACTGAAAATGCCACAAAATTAGATTATCATACAAATAGTGAAGATCGCTCTTTGTAATCACTGAAATATAATTTAAACACATTATACTCAGTAACAACGAGTATTGATCAAAATTTAAAAAGGTCAAACTTCAAGTCCAGATGAATACTTCCTTTACTTCCCCTCTTTCCCACACACCACACACCTCCGCACTCAAAAAGAAGTAAAAAGAGAAATCAATCTTTGGATACCATTTTCTGTTGTTTGGTTGAGTATAAAAGCAGGTAACAAATGGTAATGGTACAAGGTGCATGATACTCTATACGCCGTTAGCGTAAGAGAATTTCGACATCATCATTGTTATCTAAAAGATAAGTACATGTAGCTACCCATACTAAGTGATATAGTTACCAGAACAAAAAAGGGGTACAAAAACAACTTAGGCAACCAGCTATAACATGTTTAATTACATGGATAATGTAAAAAAATCTTTACACTATCTGTCAGTGGTGGAGGTAGAAGCCGAGCTACGGGTTCGGCCGCACCCAATAACTTTTGCTCAAACACTATATCTGTGTTAAGAAAAACATTAAATGCGCATAAATATTAAATTTAGAACCTAGTCATTAGCACTTGAAGTCGTCATTCTAAAATACAGAACCCATAAGGTCGAAAACCTAGCCCAGCCTCTGCTATCTATATGTATAAGTTAAATTCTAAAGTCTAACGTCAATGTTTGGATAATAATTCCGAGTATTTAAAGTTGGAGTATTTTCAATCCATAAGTGAAAAAGTCATGTTTGATGGAACAAAAAAATTCTTCTACAATAGAGGTAGATCCAAAATTTTGAACTTTATGCGTTCGAGTTCGGGATTCTATCACAGCTCAACAACAACAACATACCCAATATTATACCACACCATGGGGTTTGGGGGTAGTGTGTACACAGACTTTACCCCTACAGGTCTGTGTACTTATTTATCCCACACCGTGGGGTCGGGATTCTATCACAGCTCAACAACAAAAACATAACCAATATTATCCCACATCGTAGGGTTTGGGATGGTAATGTGTATGCAGACTTTACCCCTACTGGTCTGCATATTTATTTATCCCACACCGTGGGTTCGGGTTTCTATCACAGCTCAATTACAACAAATCCAATATTATCCCACACCGTGAGGTATGGGAATGGTAGTGTGCATGCAGACTTTACCACTACAGGTCTACGTACTTATTTATCCCACACCATGGGGTCGGGATTCTATCACAACTCAACAACAATAACATACCCAATATTATCCCACACCGTGAGGTCTAGGGAGGGTAGTGTATACGCAGACCTTACCCCTGCAGGCTGCCTACTTATTTATCCCACACTGTGTGGTCGGGATTCTATCACAGCTCATTTGATTTAAATGTACTTATTTAGTGAATTTTTTAACACATAAGCCAAAGCTACTTGTGGTATGGGTACACTTTGCCCTCCCCATACCCCACTTGTGTGATTTTAGTAGGTTGTTGTTGTTGTTGTTGTAAGCCAAAGCTACTGGTTCGGCCTAATCCACGAGTCAGGTAACAAAACACCAAAAAATGTTATGATCAAGTGAAAACATTATACCAAACACACCTAATTCAACAAATAAACAAGATCCATAGGAACAGGGAGTGAGAGCAAATTACCATGGCGTATAAATTGGTGAAGCCATTAACGACGGTAGGAGTTTTTGCAAAACGCTGTTGAAAAGCATCGCTGAGATTGTGAGCTGGATCAGTAGAAATTATGAGAACAGAAGATCGGACCTGAGAAAGAAGGATTCCAAGAACAGAACTGCATGTTGTTTTCCCAACACCACCTTTTCCACCAACAAATACCCATTTTAATGTATCTTGTTCCATTAAATTCCGCACTGTTCCTTCTGGTATTTCTTGATTATTACTCGAAGCCATGAAATATAAACTAATCTCTTCTCTTTAGAAATTGTAGTACAACAATAATTTGGAAAGAGGGAGAGTCCAATTATAGGAAATGACACTGTTTATATAGTTGATCACTGGCTAGTGATAATTAAGAAGGGTGTAAGGGATCTGATTTTGATACATGGAGTTTGTTTTTGATGATTCATTTTTGAGGCATAAAATTATGGCAATGTTAAATCTCCAAAAGTAACAAAACTGATAACCTCAATTTATTGTTTTAATGAATTGCGTTTAACTCCACATTTTTCCTTTTTTATTTTATTTTCACCCTATTTGTGACACTTATCTTAATTCGCTTGCGTGAGCTTGCTCATATTATCTTTCGATTAAAAAAAAGGAAATTATAGTAGATTTGGTAGATTGATAGTTATTCCGTCCGTTCACTTTTACTTGTTCACGGTACTAAAAATATATTTTCCCTTTTACTTGTCCATTTTAACAAATTAAGAGAAAGACAATCTTTCTTTTTTTTTTTTTTTTTTTTTTTTTTTTTTTTTTCTGTTTTACCTTTGTCATTAACTACTTATTCCCAAAATTATTTCTCAATACTTTTTGAAATGCTATTATTATTTTGGGTAAAATTATAAAATATATACTTTATTTATGTTTTTTAAAGACAAAAGTGAATAACTCAAAATGAACGGCGAAAGTAGCACGTGTTAATTTATAAATTCTAGTGATATTGTGATACGTGTTTCCATAAAAGCCAACTGATTTGTATAATTCCATTATCTTTAGATTTTAGAGATGTTGTTATTTAAGTTAAAATTTCAAAGATCTTTTTTTTTTTTTTTTGAAAAAAAAATTCAAAGATCTGCACACTCGCTTGATACTACACGAATCATTGTTCAGAGTTAAGATAAATAAGCCATTAATGTTACAAAAATCATTCTCCATATAACTAGATGAATAGTAAAAATAAATGATTTTTTCCAAAACAGAGATTAAAAAATTAAAAATTGTAGATCCCATATATGAGTAAAGAAAGTTATCATTATATTTATCATATATAGAGAACCAAAAAAAATACGTAAAAAATAGAATCACTAATGTATTATTAAAACTCAGATTATTTCCTGCTTAAACTATCCTCAAAAAATTGTCACATAAAACCCAACAACAATATAACTAGCTTTTACACATAGAGAATTCAGTCACAAAAAAGAATATAGCTAGCTATCATCAATTATACTATATGAATATAAATGCCTAATTTTATCACCAAAAAAATCTTCAAATTAATCATCAGAATCAGAATCACTAGTTATTGGCTTTGGATTCTTTGCATGTAACACTCTACGTTGAAACCAATTCTTGTCCTTAGCTTTCTCAAAAAATGGTTGCCTTAATAGCCTTTCCACATTTGGCCTTTTTCTTGGTTTTTTAGCCAAACAATCCAAAACCACATTCTCAAATTCTTTGGAAAATAGCCTTTCTTCTTCTTTCTTTTTTCCAACTTTCTCCTTAAAATATCCCATAACTCTCTTCATTTTCCCTTTTTTATCATTAATTTCCTCAACCAAATTATCACCCTCTTTCTCTTTTCCTAATTTCAATTTATCCTTAAAAAATCCAACAACTTTTTTCATTTTCCCATCATTTTTCTCTTCTTCTCCTTCTTCTTCAATTGGATAAGTAATTTCCTCAAATAAATCTTCTAATTTATTTGGCAATTTTTTTGACTTTCTTATTTTGTTGATCATATCATCAAAATCTTCACGATCACTTACTCTTATATTTCCATATGCTAATTCCAATGCTGTAATTCCAACTAACCAAATATCAGATTTAACACTATAGTCATTCTCAATATCATCAGAATCTTCATATGTATAATAAATCTCTGGTGCAGCTGCCCATGCAGAAATATTAGTTAGACGTGGTACCTGTTGCAAAATTAAATTATATATTTAGAATATAAATATATATAAAAAAAAAGGTAAAGACTTTTAACTTAGTAGGAATTTGAACATTATTTGCAAATCAAAAAATTGAGAATAACAGAAACATAAATAATAATAATAATAATAATAAAAGGGAACAAATCAAACTTTAAAATATTAATATGCAATAGTACCGAAGAGGAAATAACATTCACATTTTCAATTCTAAATATTTTTTTCAATTTCAATAAAATATTGTCCAAATGAATATTATCAGAGAAAAAAAACTAAAGTGAACATGCTTAAATAAGAAAGACCCACTAACCACAGATTAATGACATATTTTTATTACTATATACTATCATTTTGACTAACAAATTGATAAAAACAGAAACTACTCAAACAAACAAAAAAATGGAATAAATCAAACTTTGAAATATTAATATTCAACAGTACCAAAAAAAGGAACCATGATATTAATATTCACATTGTCAACTTCAAATACTCATTTTTTTTTTTCAATTTCACAAAATATCAACCAAATGAGTATTATCAAAGAAAACAATAAAGTAACACTGCCTAAAATCTAAATAAAAAATTCACCTCCTACCACAATTTAAGCACATACTTTATTATATCATTTTGACTAATTAACAGAAACTACTCAAATAAACAAAAACAAAAAATCAAACTTTGAAATATTGATATTCAAACTGACGTTCTTGATTAATATTCACATTTTCAACTTCAAATACTCTTTTCTTTTTTTCAATTTCACAAAATATCAACCAAATGAGTATTATCAAAGAAAAAAATAAACTAAACATGCCTAAGATCTAAATAAAAATTAAAATAAACTGAACATGCCTACGATCTAAATAAAAATTAACCCACTAGCTATACAATTTGAGCACATAATTTATTATATCATTTTGACTAATTAACAGAAACTACTCAAATAAAAAAAAATCAAATTTTGAAATATTAATTTTCAAATTGACGTTCTTGATTAATATTCACATTTTCAACTCCAAATACTCATTTTTTCCAATTTCAACAAAATATTATCCAAATGAGTATTATCAAAGAAAACAATAAACTAAACATGATAAAATCTAAACAAAAAAGCCAACCTACTAGCACAATTTAAGCACATAATTCATTATATCATTTTGACATAATAAATTCTGTGGAAAAAAAAAAGAAACTACTCAAACAAAGACCAAAAAAAAAACAGAAATAAATCAAAATTAGAAATTCTCAAACTGAATATTAATTACGTACCGAAGAGTCTCCAGCATCTACTTCTTTATTCACTTTGAATTGAGGATCAGAATCATAACCAGCAGCTTCAAAAGCCAATTTAATCTCAATTTCCCCACCAGCCTTAGAATTATTAACAAAAATATTCCCAGCATTGAAATATTTATGAATTCTACCAGAATTATGAATATCCAATAAACCAATTAATGCTTCTTTAAGTGCAATAGCAATACAATCTTCAGGCAAACCATAGTAAAAATTTGAAGAAAGAATATAACGTAATGATCCTTCAGACATATATGGTAATCCAACTAAATATCCATTATCTTCAAATCTACGTATAAACCAAGATTCAATATTAATAATATTCCGAGTTGAAATTTTCCCTGTTGCAGTAAAACTTGTTCCAATATCTGGATTACCTTTTCTCAGATATTTTACTGTAATATAACCAGTAGAAAATATGTTGGTATGTTTATCACGTGAGAAATATACAGCTTTGTATACAAAATCTAAACCTGAAGTACCGATAATTTTTTCGAATAAGTAAGTAATATCAGTGTTTGGATCTGTGATTATTCTTCCAACTTTTGGACGATAAGCTCTTGTGGTTCTTCTACCCATAATTTGGAGAAAAAATTTCTGGGATTTAGGGTTTGGTTTCAGGTGAAGAGAAATGAAGAAGAAGAAGAAGAAGATGAAGGGTTTATAGTGTATTTATATGAGTAACAGAATCAAGAAGTTGAGTCTGAAAAGCCGTTAGAATGGCGCGGTTGAGTTCCGTTTTTCNGGGGGGGTGGGGTAAGAATTTGTTATAAAGTCTGTTTAAAGGGAAGCACTGACTTAGTTTTATGTGAGTTTTAATTCTAATTAGTATAAAATATGTCCAAATTTGACGCTGGAAATTTAATAGGTTGACACTAATCCTGTTAATCGGGCCGGGCTGATCGACCCGTTTTCAGCCCGATTCGGCCCAGCACTGTAGCATATTGGGCGGGCTGGAACGGGTTGGGCGGGGAGCGGGTTTTAGACGAACATATTTTAAATATCGGTGTACCAGAACCCGCTAAGCCCGCTAACACCGTTAACGGGTTGTTAACGGGCTGTAGCCCGTTAACGGGTTAAAAAAAAAATTTAATTTGTGTACCGTTGCTAACAAAATTTAATTAAAAAAATAATAACTAGCATAGCCTGCCCCAGTCTGTTAAGCTCGAATCCGAACGAGCCCACAAAACCCCGCAAATTCCTAACCCGCTATCAACCCGCTAACCAACCCGGTCCGTTAACGAATGGGTTGTTTTTTTTTTGTTCGGGCCCGTCCCAGCCCGCCCGTTAAACACCTCTAGTTGACACTCTTAATAATCTAAACGTCATCATTCATTGTGAAATATAAGGAGTAATCAATGTTAAATATTTCATTAGGGGTATTTCAATTATTTAACATATAAATTTTTAAACAAAAAAGGTTGTTCAGTGCATAAAGCATGTCGCGTTAACGCAGTATACGGAGAAGGGTGGTAGCACGGGCCACACCTAAAGATTGTATAATGTAGGCAGCCTACCTTGATGGAAGCATCAGTGGCTGATTTCACGGCTCGAACCCGTGATCTATAGGTCACGGAAACAACTTTAATTTACCGTTGTTCCAAGATTTTCCTTATAAAATTTTCAAACAATAGTATCAATTATTATTCTAAGGCTTTTTTTGTTTTTCAATATGTGTTCGCTATTCGATTTCGGGTCCCGACTAGTTTAGATTCGCAGCGCTCACTAAAGGAAAAAACACTTATTATTACAATTTCTTTTTTCATTTTCTGAGTTGGAAGGATAATTTTATAGAAGCCAACTAATGGTTAATGCAAATGTAGTTGAATTTCACAATGTTGACTTATTGACATATATAATAAGAGAAATCAAATTCACAATGTTGCTTCTCAACATTATATTTCTTGACTTTATTACCTAGCCATGATTGTACTGGATCCTTTTTTTTAATTTTAATATCTTTTTATAGAATCAACCCAGTAAAATTTTAAGTGTCTAGATATATGTTCAAGTTTAAAACTTGTCAGACTGTAGTTAACGAATTCTTTTCTTCTAATAGTCTAATTAAAATTTTAGATAAGATAATCACACGTCGATGGAATTAGAAACACAAAAATATTCAAAAATATTACTATTTTGGAAAATTACGTGTTAGAATATACTAATCTAGAGAATTTACACGCAATGGAATAAACTCCTCAAAACCTTTCATCAATTCTTTGGTGTCATTAAAACTTGAACCATGAACAATTCTAATTTCTTTTCCATTCATTTTAAAGGGAACTCTTGCTTCTAATTAAGCCTACAGCTATATATTTATATTGGCAAAGTTTCTTTTAGATTTATGTACAGGAGAAAATCTGAAGCTCGAGACTCCAAATAGGAACTAGTACTGGAACAAAAAGGGAAAAACAGAAAGAAACCAGAAAAACAAACTATACACACTGATTCCACTCCTAGAGCAAAAACATTCTGGCCCCCCAAAGATCATATGCCCCTTCTTTTTATAACCGAGAAATCCGGAGTGTCAGTGGTCGACAGTTCAAAACTTGATGGATGGTGAACCCGTCCTTTTACGTTTCTTCACTTTAATATCAATATCAAGCTTTTGTCTATGACAGATTTTGAACCCGTGACATGCGCTCAGCCCACTCATCAAGATCATATGTCCGTTTTTCTGTAATCGAGAAATCTAGAGCGTCAGTGGTGGACGGTTCAAAACTCGATAGATGGTGATCCGTTCTTTTACCTTTCTTCACTTAAATACCAATATCAAGCTTTCGTCTATGACAGGTTTTGATCTCATAAGATATGCCTAGCCCACTTATCAAGGTCATATATCCCTTAGCTCTTTTGTAATCAAGAAACCCAGAGCGCCAGTGACGGACAGTTCAAAACTCAATAGATGGTGAACCCGTGCTTTTACCTTTCTTCACTTAAATACCAATACCAAACTTTTTTCTACGATAGGTTTTGAACCTTTGACATGCACCTAACTCACTCATCATGCGATGTGCTCTTACCATTAGACCAAAGCCCTGGGACAACAGATCATATGTCCATTATGAAACTATCAAGAAGATCTCAACTCTTTTGCTAAAGTAATCGGACATATTAACACAGAATCTACACACAACCCCCCTTTAGTATGTGTACAATCAATCTGCATCAAAGAAAATTTTAAATTTGTCATGGCCGCGGAGTCCTTAACAACAAAATCTCCCACATGGTGGTGCACCCAAGTTCCTACATTGTCTAGATAACATTTAGACATGGCACATTGATCATCAGACGCCGTTAACTGGAATTGCACGGGCTTTAAATCCCAGCCGTGAACTTGTTCAGTGTTAGTGATGACTCGACGTCCCAACCTCTTGGTAATTTTGCCAAGCTGAAGTCTAAAGAATACACTATATGTTCCTGCAGGGAATTGGAATTCTAATTCGCCATCAACTTCAACCCACCAAATTTGTTGAAGATAAGCGACAGTCCCGAATCTACATTAAGAATAAGAAAAATAAGTACCCAAAATTAGTTACAATCAACTTTACAAAAGAATTAAAAAGGGAGAAGGATCAAGTTTGTTCCTATACTCATCGAAATTGAACAACTTTGTTATTTAAACTTTTAGTCTAATATTACCATGTTGTTAGGAAAAAAAATCTTATTTTTTTGTCCTTGACCCCTAATGGAGGCCGAACTTGAGGGTAAATTTAGATCATATTAAAAAGAAGTGAGGCAAATTTGAAACTTATTTAAGAATTTGGAGAAGTGGGGTCCACTCAATTTGTCTTGGAGCTTCGTTAAAGGCAAGGGAAAATACAAGATACTCTCTTCGTCCCAATTTTTGTGGTGGTTTGATGATTTTGAGAGTCAAAAGTTATTTTAATTGTCAATTCAAATATAGAATCTTTATGTTTTTTGAAGAAAAAAAATTACATATTTGAAAACTAAATAAAAAGTACTATAAGTCATAATAATTAATAATTCAAAATATTTAAAAGACGTGAAAAAATTACGGTCAAATAAAAATTCGTTTGACTTTCAAAATCTGAACATTGCTATATAAATTGGGACGAGGGGAGTATTTACTAACCCAGGCATATGAATTCAATAAAGTGTAATGGATAAATTTTAGACCTTTTCCCTTTAAATGGCCTTCTTTTTGTAATTTCATTAATGTTTATTATATGATTATAAGGTGTAATTCCATATATATTATATAAATAAAATTAAGAGGTCTGTATCACATGATAAAATTGGATATGTATAGCAAAACAGATCATTATCACAACCAAATAATTGTTTAGCTTTCATTAATCTCAATAAAGGAAGAAAAAAAAAAACTCAAAAACAACATTTCTAAGTACATAAAATAACAGGTAAATTAACATACCTTGATTCGTCGGTCGGAATATGATTCCAATATCTCCGATCATCAATTCCGGTAATCGTCATTCCTTTAGCTGAAACTGCCAAACAAACCCCTCCATTATTCTGGTCAATCCATACCTCCTGAATTACCAAAAAAAAAAATCAATTTAAATATTGATCATATTTTAATAAAAACTCACAAGCAAATGGAAAAAGGGCAGCCCGGTACTTAAAGCATCCTCTTCACGCAAGGTCCGGAGAAGGACCGCGCATCAAATTAAAGAGTATGATGTAGGACCAGGGGCGTATTTAGGCCTAAAATACGGGGCACGTGAACTCATGGTCTCTCTGCCAAACTAGGTATTTTATGTACATATTTTGGTTCAAAACTAAGTTATTTACTTTGAGGAACGGGGATCAATTCCCGCTTAATACATTTTTTCTTCTTTCTTTGGTGATGCACCCATGTTCTAGAAATCTAGATTCGCCTCTGGATGTAGCAACCTACCCTAATACAAACATTAGTAGCTACTTTCACTGCTCGAACCTGTGACATATAGGCTATGTTACTCGGACTCTCCGAAAATGTCTCTGTGTGTGTGTCAGATCTTCCAAAAGTAGTGTACTTTTGGAGGATCCGACACGGATGAAGTATAGGTTATGTTGCTCGGACTCTGGAAAATGTCTGTGCGTGTGTGTTAGATCCTCCAAAAGTAGTGTATTTTGGAGGATTCGACACGGATACAGTAATACTTTAAAAGTCCCCGCAACATAGCCTATAGGTCATAGGGGCACAATTTTACCAACAATGTCAAAAAAAAACACCTTTGTGCCAGAATCAAAAGAACTAGGCCGGGAAAGCTTTGCAAAAATGTCCTTTTTGGCCATGCCTGCAACACTCATGGCCAGCAATTCCTCGAGAATATACTTGGAGGGCAATTTGGAATCCCAAATAAAATCCGCAGAAGAAGCGGCCGAAAAGGTCCGATTAAGACGAGCCAATTTGCAAATTTCTGGTGGATCCAAATAAGAGAGAATAAGAGCAACACAAGCTTCTGGTATATCTTCAAGCTTAGTTTTTAATGGCGGATGGTTTGAGCCATTAGCAGAGTTTGAGTCAATGGAAGAAGCGTTAGCACCCATGAGAAGGAAAAGAGAAGGAGAGAAAATGTATAAACGAAGAGAAATAATGATTCTTTTTTATAGGTGTTAAATTTTAGGACCTTGTTTCAGATGGCACGCTTGCTTCGAACCGAAGGTCTATCGAAAATATTTTTTTTATTCGTACAAAGTAGAAGTAACGTTGCATACATATTATCTTCTTCGGACCTTACTTGTGTATAATATTTTTATAATTTTAATAAATTTTTTAACATAAATTTATACTATACGAGAACAATATTGGACGAACCTTATAGGGTACCACTCTACATCAGTCTCTAGTTTTTGGACCTTGCGTTTATAAATACACAGTATACAACTTGTTTTACACCATAAATTTTCAAAAAAAAAAAAAAAGTCTGATCAAACATTGCCAAATAAATTCGAACGAAATGGATAGAATATTTTGTAGGCAGTATGAGAAAAAAATACTATTCCGTCCGTTCCAGTTTATGTGAACTTATTTCCTTTTTGGTCCGTTTCAAAAAAAATGATCCCTTACTAAATTTGGAAGCAATTTAGCTTAAACTTTTAATTCTACCCTTAATGAGAAGCTTTTATAACCACACAAATCTCTGGGGGCCATTTTAACTTGTTTAGGACCACAAATTCCAAAAGTCTTCATATTTTCTTAAACTCCGTGTCCAGTCAAACATGTTCACATAAATTGAAACAGATGGAGTATATAATTAATGTCGTGTTTGATTGACGATATTAAAATAATAAGATGTGCATCAATAATGAGGAAATTAACTATCGGCTTAATACATAAACAAGACCTTCCAACTTGGCCTCAATTGACAAGTATGCCCTTCAACTTTGAGTGTGCACAAGTAGGCACCTCAACTTGTCTTCACTTTGTCCGCTGAGCTTCAATTTACAAAATGACCATCCAGACACCTCCAAAACTTATATGCCACATCAGTGCTATGTCAATATTTGTGTTTACGTGTTCAACTTTATACATATGTTGAGGTGCCTATTTTTGTACAACTAAAGTTGGAGGGCATACTTGCTATTGAGGTTAAGTTTGAGGGCATGTTTATGTATTATGCATTAACTATTTAAAGACAAAAACGTCTTTTTCAAAAATAAGAAATCCATGTATATATACTAATCTTTTCTTTGTTAATCATCACATAAATTAACCAAAATTAGTATGTGCACCGAATAAATGTTTTTGTGAAAAGACAAGAAAAGGGTGGATGACTAGGATGTGGAAAAGAGGGGGAATTCTTATCCAATTCGCCATTGATTGTAGGACAGGTCGTTACGCGCTGTTAAAGTCGTTAATGACACGTAATGATGATAAGCAGTCAGCTCGATACGTTGTTGCACTTATCAGGTATTTTGGTTGTTTTTTCGTTTCCAGGTATTTTGGTTTGGATAATTGTGCTTTTATTACACCGTATAATTACCACCAATTCTCACCAGTGTAATTACACTCTTACAATTACACTCAATTTCATGTTGACCAAATAATTACTTGGCCAAATAAACATGTCAAACTGTGTAATTACACTCAATTACATCTAAATCCATTGTGGCTTTCCAAACAGGCTCTTAATCAGAAAGTGTCACCGTGTCAACCTCCATCCCCTTATGAATGTAGGTTAACTGACTAAACATAACTCTCATGACGGAGGGTGGGCGGACGGGGTGGCTCAAGCAAGACTGACATGCTTCTAGGTTAACAAACTTATGAAGAATGAGTGCATATGTCACCTTAGGCGAATTCCACATTAGAATGGAGAGAAACGTGGAGAGATCTAAATGACATAAAATAAATTCATATGGTCGGGATCGACGATGCCGTAGCTTAAAGGACAAATATGCAAGGTATATATTTTGTCCAAAGCGAACAATACGTGTCATGAGTTTGTGCTGTGACACCAAATCAATTATACTATTTTGTTCATGTATATTTCTATTTTGTCATCTGACTTTTATCGATTAACGTTTAATTTATTAGCTTTCACATTACACTTGATTATTTCGATCTTGTTATCTATTCTATACTCTCTTTTTTTTGGGTCCAATCTGTTCTATACTATATCTGCCCCTTGCTCCTACTTAAAAGGTGATTGTAATTGCTCATTTTAATTTATTCCTTGGATGCCGAAAACCAAATATATTTTGCCATTGTTTTATCCAGATGTTCCAATAGCTGGAAGCCAAAATAATTGGCAAGAAATAAAAGGAATCTTTATACAAATTGTAAGTCGGAATACTGTTTACTTTATATAAATTATAGGTTAATTATATATGATTATATGCGTAAATTATACATATACTATTATATATTCATAGTTTATTTCAGTTTAAGTGATTGAGTCGACGACTATTTTAGTTAATTTTTCATAAATATATGATGAATTAAATGAGCATAAAATAGACAAAATGTATGTAGGTCTAGCTAAATTCTAAACTTTATATAGTGGATACAACAACAACAACCCAGTATAATTTCACTTAATAGGGTTTGAGGAGGATAATGTGTACACAGACCTTATCCCTATCCTGGGGTAGAGACGTTGTTTCCAAATTTATATAACTTTATATAGTGGATATTGATCCTTTATTCAGATGAATAGGAGGAAAATTTCTTATGGTGTCTGGTCATCAATAAACTAAACATAAATATTCAAGATGGTCCATCCTTTCCTTTTCACATTTACACTTTATATTCCATTAGAGAAAAAGGTACTAATTTTTTATTAGCATTAAAAAAGTTATTTATGCCTTAATCACTCACCACAAGTTAGTAGTTTTGTAGCTTAAATTAATTGAAAAGCAACAAAGTAACATTTTAATAATCCCAGTTGAATTTGGTAATGAGTCAGCAATATTGCTTATTGGCCACAAATTTCTTCTGATCTCATCCACTAATACGTAACGAGTTGCTGGAACAAATTCCAATTCACAAATATGCTTGTGGCCAGAGGCGAATTTTGAATTTAGCTCAATAATTTCTACCATTAAGGTTCTTAGCATTAAATTATTGTTAGGTAAATTAAAAATTCAAATAAAATTAATTTGGTTTTTTAAAGTGCAGTTCAATTATTCACGATGTTATTACGGAGTTCCACCTTTTTAAGTTTAAAATTTATAATATAATTACGAATTCCAAAAATAATTTTTCGATGACTTTTGAACGTGTGACTATGTTTTAAAGCACAAACCGAAAGGGAAAAAAAAAAAGAATACTCCAAAGGCTCTTTTCTTTTTCATTATTTTTTGTTTCTCCCAATTGCTTCTATGGAAGCTTTGTTCTGATTTCTGACTCCACACTCAATTCTGTCTAGAATTTGTTTTTGAAAAAAATCCAAAAGGAAAAAGAAACCTTTAGCTTCATAATTGTTAATTTGACTTAAACGCATATCGAATTGAGCTAAATGTTTCCTTGATATCAGCAAATAGAGAAATGGTTGTCTAGTGCTTTGCGTTAAGTGTCCCGCAAAGGGGTGGCAAAATTGTTAAAAGAAAACAGTTAATCACCCATATTATTCACTAAAAATGGGTTGGATAATGAATTATTTAAAAACAAGTCAAATATGGATAAGAACCATATTATGTTTAACCAATGGATAACCGATGGGTTTAACTTTTATATTTGTAAAGCCTCAAATTGGGAGTTCCTCAACTTTGGAGACTAAGAATTCTCCAAAAAGTGATCATATTCAAGAAGTCATAGATAATATGGCTACCTATATTATCTGCTGATTAACTCGTATTAAATATGGGTTTTTCATTACTCGTTTCGACCCGAACCATATCCGATCCGACTCGCCGTTTGTCACTCCTACCCGCGATTAATTGGGGGGAATGAGCTATTTTCTCCTTATATGGTATTGGACAATACTCATCTCATGAGTTACCTTTAGGGTTGAGTTAGACACAATTTTTTTTCGTGCGTGATACGAGAGCAAGATTTCATCCCTATTCTTGGTTCTCAATGTTGGGCGACACACACATTAGATATGCAGTCCTAGGCATACTTGTATGTTTAAATATCCTATACTGGTTGATATAATGAGTTGTTGTCCCCTTATAAAGTTCGAAAAAATACTCACCTCGTGAGCTAGCATTTGAGGTATCCATATGAAATGCCAAACTAGTCGTAAAATAGTTTTGTATGCTTTGTTCACGTGTGGCCCAAACTGCATTTCATTTCAGCCCATTGTTTGTGACTTGGAAGAAAGTGGTGAATGGTGGGGAGCCTCATTTACATGGATGCGTTGGCACGTTGCATAATTAATGGTTTAAAGGATTATGCTCTAACAGGGTAAATTACCATAAAAGTGTGTTATGTGTGAAAGAACTCCCCCTCCCCCCCTTTCTCTTTTAGCAACTTGTATCATGTTTCTTAGCTCAAGAATACGACAGTTTGAGCTTCCTTCCATGATTTTAGAATGGTACAAATATATTTGATTTCTGTATAATTAGGATAGCCCCGTGCACAAAGCATCTCGTGCTTGTGTAGGATCCGGGGAAGGGTCGCACCTAGGTGTTCAAATTTTGAACACCCTTTGTCAATGGACTGTGTAAGGGTGTTCAAAGCCTATTTTTTAATCAATAACAAGTAATGTTTTACCTTATACGTAGTATAATTTTTCGGCGAAGGATGTTCAGTTGAGCACCCTTGGGCCAACATAGCTTCGTCCCTGGCCGCACCCCAAGGGATGTGATGTAGGTCGCCTACCCTGATGTACGTATAAATGACTAATTCTATGGTTTTAGCCCGTGACCTATAAATTACGCGTTGACAATTTTACCGTTACTCCAGAACTCCCTTTCAATTTTTCTACAGAGTTAACCTTCCGTTTTATTTCCTTGTGTTGATACCATCTATATAAATGAATTTCTACTTCTATCAAAAGAATTGATAACCGTAAATTATATAAATGATTACCATTAGAGGATAACCTTGTTTTTTTTATATAGATCATTCTCTATTTTGAGAATTATATATAAAAAGTTAATATTATAAAAGAA